GTCGACGACAGCCGAGCCGAAAATACTAGGACTATGCCCTTGAGGGAATGCAACAGACTTGTTGCGAGGCGTCACCGAATTGAATACGCTCTCAACAGATGTCTCGGAAAGTACTCATCCGTGGAATCTCTTTTCGTCATCAGAATGGACGTCGTCAGATTTATTCCACATCAACAGAGTGATAAACTTCGGTGACGAATGACACTGTATGCCAGTCGTCCCTCAAGCCACTCATATACTTCTATTGAAGTGGTACGAGATGCAAGACAACCGCAGAGATGGATATCGGTGAGAAATATTAAAAACATGAAACACTCCGCGGTTTGCAAGAGAACTCAGTAATAACCAATCACACAATAATCGTCATCACGATAGCTCTTTACTATCGAGCAGCATCTTAGTCCGCAATAGTTTCTGCAAGGACTGTTCGAGAACCTGAGCATCATCATCATCAATCACACGAGCCGCCCATGATAGATCACATCATCTGGTGTGGAAGCACCACTAGTGACTCCAATTGTTATGTGTTCACCATTACCAGGGAGGAAGTCGTGAGTCACTGCCAAGCCATGGTTACGAGCCGCCTCAACTGACAGCAATGTTGTCGAATGAGAAAACGATTCTGACTCGTTCAGCTCTCACTCGGGGGAGTTTCCACAGGCTTGTGGGTGATAGTATTGCGCAGTTCATCGATACGTGCAGGCCCATCAATGTGGAATGCTCGATGGTCCTTCACGCCGCCAGCTTCTACTGATATCTGATACCCAACACTAATCACTCCTAAGTGGCCAGAGTATTACCTCTTGAAGGTGCTCAGTATTACTGCTATTAAAGCCGCCTACCACGAGCATCATGTCGAGCTTAGTAGCAGTAGGAGTAACCTACGATGTGAGCGGTATGGAGGTAGGAGGGATACTGTCGATCACTATCCTTGAAAATTACTCTCACCGAATTGCCTAGAAGCGACTTACTATCACTTGTATGCTTTAGCTAGAAAATGAGGCACAACTCTAACTGTGAGTTTCAGACTATCCAAACTTCCAATGAGCTACCATAACACGGTGAACTCCTCTAGGAATATACCAAATACCGAGGGCGTTCACCTGAGGATCCGTCGTCTTAGGAGTGTCGACTCCCAGTTCCTCCAGCATGTCCGATTGCGGCTGTTCATATTTCTCCCCAACCTTACAAAAGCAGCTGCCTCACTCAACAAAGGCGAGTGCCTTACCAGCTTATAGAGAGCGTCCTGCCTATCTTGTGTTGCATCACATATAGTGTTGAACGCTACGAAGTGCTCGTTGAGGCCCTCGGGACCGTACAATTGCAGAACTGTCTTCTCGAACAACTTCGCAATAAGGGCCGTTTCCCCCTAAGAGTCAATGCCCATTCTCTAAAACGGCCACAACGGGATTGGTTCTAATACAAGCAATGATAGTATTCGAGATTATATCGCGAGAATTCACATCCTCAGTTTGCACTGTGGAGAACAACCCACGACACAACAAGTCAGAGTCGCTTATACATAGTCGCATTCCTCAGCTACGCTCAGGAGTTTCCTCACTAATCGTAGAAGTTCACGAACAAATTCGAGTAGAAGTGCCCAGAAACCAATAGGAATTTCCAAAAATTCTCTCTGAAATTCTATATAGTCACCAACACATGTAGTTGAGCATGTGCATTTTCCCCCACACTGCTACAGGCCGACCTCAACGACTGTTTCACACAGCAGAGCGCTACCTTCAACATAGTCGTTTGGTTGGCCACCCCAACCTTCTCGAGGTCCTTCAGAGGATCAAAGCCGACAGAATGTCGATCCGCTGGAAATCTAAAAACAAATATGCGGTGATCACAATATGTCGTGACTCTCGAAACTGATGAGAATCCACGAAAAAGACTATGTATTTGCATCTGTTCCTATTCGTATTCGTCAAAGACGATTTAACAAATACGCAACGCGATGACAGTCTCATGATCGGTCGGACTAAATTTAGTATTATCCTCTTACTTTTCGAAGAAATCATTAACCAGTCGTTCCTTATTTTTGCTCAACAGAAACTTGCATACATATTCGGCGTCCTTGAGGTTCTTCAAAATCAAATACCTACAAGACACATCTCTTGCCGAGCACCACAGCGATGCCAATCGTATTGTCAGTCAAATGATCATTGACTTTTACAGTAGATACATAACTCCAATTTGATATGAGTAGTTGAGGAGTTGGGGCTGCGACAAAAAATTGAGTCTTAAGATTGCGCGCCCTGTAAAACTATTAATATTCTGCACTGTCCAGCTAACACAATTACGCTGTGTTCATACTAGCTTCAGAAATTGATACTGAGCATTCCGAATACTCGCCACTTCGCCCACTCTGTCTCTCTCACTATGAACGTAGCACCAGGAGCGTTCTAGTTTCTAAGCACTAGTTCTAAGCCTTGTTCTATTTTCAGCCTCAACTACTACTCAGTTAACGTAAAATACGAATTCCGGAATATTATCGATCTCGCTTTTGGCAGAACAGCCTGAATTTTACGATGATCAGTTTGGTTCAAGAGGTTTAACATAATATAAGAGATCATAAGGCACTTATATTTTCGTTCTTTGAGACCCTGATAGCGCAGAGTTCAGTCCAGTCTGGCGGAACACTAACACTATTGTCACTAACCGGCTTACTTATCAGCGAAGGAGCTTGTCGCAATGGTCTCCTCGTGTTTCGACTTGCCGTGTATAATAGAAGTATATTCACCCTTCTTGTGTCGCTCTACAGATGACCACACCTGATGCATCACTGTTACTCTTATCAAACCACCAAAACCCCGTACTTTGGAGACCCATGGACAAGTGGTGTCCACTATGGTGACGCCCTTCCGCTTCAACTCCATCATTTCCTTTACAGCAGCTCCTAACACGGAGCTCTCAAAATTGTGTCACTAAAAACATAAGGTCCTCCTTACCAAATGCTGGTAGGATGACCACGTCCCCAGCACTGACGACCGAGAAGTCCTTTTGAT